ATCTTTCCGACAGATAAGATCTAAACTAGGCAAGAACTTGTCCGTGTAGACCAATTAAGGTTTCCAATCTCTCCAAAAGAATGTGGTGATCGATGGTGTCAAAAGCAGCACTAATGTCTAGGAGCACAAGGACATATGCAGAGCCTTGTTCTGACGCCATTAAAATGTATTTTACCACCTTCACGAGTGTGGTCTCAGTGCTATGATGGGGTCTAAAACCAGACTGAAGCGTTTCGATATACATTTTTTGTCTTCAGGAAGGCAGTGAGTTGCTGCACAACAGCTTTTTCTAACATTTTTGAGAGGAATGGGAGATTCGATATAGGCCAATAGTTTTTTACATTTTCTGGGTCAAGGTTTGGCTTTTTCGAGAGAGGCTTTATTACTGCCACTTTTAGTAAGTTTGGTACACATCCAGTGGATAGGGAGCCATTTGTTATGTTCAACATAGGAGGGCCAAGCACAGGAAGTAGCTCTTTCAGTAGTTTAGTTGGAATAGGGTCCAGTATGCAGCTTGAAGGTTTAGAGACCATGACTATTTTCATGAATGTGTCAAGAGATATAGGATTTAAAAACTTTAGTGTCTCCATTGATCCTAGGTCCTGGCAGTTTTGTGGAGACTCAGGACAGCTGAGCTTTGGAGAAATACGCAGATTCAAAGAGGAGTCCGTAATTTGCTTTCTAATGATCATGATCTTTTCGTCGAAGAAGTTCTTGAATTCATCACTGCTGAAGTGAAAGGCATCCTCTCTTGGGGAATGCTGCTTTTTAGTTAGCTTTGCGACAGTACCAAATAGAAATGTTGGATTGTTCTTATTCTCCTCAATTAGGTTGGAAAAATAGGATGATCGAGCAGCAGTGAGGGCTCTTCGATATTGCTCTGTACTTTCTTTCCAAGCTAGTAGAATAACTTCCAGTTTGGTGGAGCGCCATTTCCGTTCCAATTTTCTGGAGGCTTGCTTCAGGGCTCAGGTATTTTCTGTATACCAGGGAGCTAGTTTCTTGTGATTAATGTTTTTTGTTTTTAGGGGTGCGACTGCATCTAGGGTATTACGCAAGGTTAAATTTAGATCCTCAAGTTAGGTCGTTAACTGATTTTTGTACTCCGACGTCCTTGGGTAGGTGGAGGGAGTCTGGAAGGGCCTCTAGGAGTCTTTGGGTTGTCTGAGAATTTATAGCACAGCTTTTGATGGTCCTTGGTTGGGGTCTGAGCAGATTTATTTGTTGCGATTGCAAACGTAATAAGATGGTGGTCTGATAGTCCAGGGTTATGAGGAAAAACATTTAGATCCACAATATTTATTCCACGGGACAAAACTAGATCCAGGGTATGACTGTGGCAATGAGTAGGTCCGGAGACATGTTGGACAAAACCCACTGAGTCGATGATGGCTCCAATAGCCTTTTGGAGTGGGTCTGTGGACTTTTCCATGTGAATATTAAAGTCACCAAAAATTTGAATATTATCTGCCATGACTACAAGGTCCGATAGAAATTCAGGGAACTCAGTGAGGAACTCTCGCCCAGGAGGCCTGTAAACAGTAGCTATAAAAAGTGATTGAGTAGACTGCATAGATTTCATGACTAGAAGCTCAAAAGATGAAAACGCAGTCAATTTTGTGGGGGTAAATTGACATTTGCTATCGTAAATGTTAGCAACACCTCCGCCTTTGAAGGATGCACGGGGGATATGGTCACTAGTGTAACCAGGAGGAGAGGCCTCATTTAACACAGTAAATTAAATCAGGCTTACGCCATGTTTCAAGTCAGGCCAATCACATCAAGATTATGATCAGTGATTAGTTCATTGACCATAACTGCCTTGGAAGTGTGGGATCTAACATTAAGTAGCCCTATTTTGAGATGTGAGATATCACAATCTCTTTCAATAATGACAGGAATGGAGGAGGTCTTTATTCCAGTGAGATTGCTAAGGCAAACACTGCCATGTTTAGTTTTGCTCAACCCAGATCGAGGCACAGACACGGTCTCAATGGGGATAACTGAGCTGACTACACTGACTGTGCTAGTGGCAGACTCCACCCTATCTCATTGTGGAGCTAGAGGAGTTAGAGCCCTGTCTATGTTAGTAGATAAGATGAGAGTACCCCTCCAGCTAGGATGGAGTCCGTCACTCCACAGCAGGCCAGGTTTGGTCCTGTTCGTGGGTGAGTTCCCAGAAAGAGGGCCAATTATCTACAAATTATTTTGGGAGGGGCAGAAAACAGTTTTCAACCAGCGATTGAGTTGTGAAACTGCTGTAGAGCTCATCATTCGCCCTAACTGAGAGGGGGCCAGAGCCAATTACTCGATGCTACACATCTTTCTAGCTAATTTACACGCTGAAGCTATGTTGCTCTGGGTGACCTCTGACTGTTTCATCCTAACATCGTTGGTGCCGACGTGGATAACAATATCCCTGTACTCTCTACACTCGCCAGTTTTTGCCTTAGCCAGTGTTTGAATGTTAAATGACGAGGCAGAGGCATTGATGCGAGTAACCAGTCTTGTTCAGTATATTGCAATACATCCGGGTATCTCAAGTACACCGGTAAAACACTGGAGTTGCAGTAATTAACATTTACCAACAGATGGCATCATTGTGCCATCTTCCACCCATAACAGCCAGCACCATTTTCAGATTAGCCTTTACGTCGGTAGCCCTGCCGCCTGGTAAACAGCGTATGATCGTTGGATGATTCTTTTTAAGTCTAATATTGCGGATAATAGAGTCGCCAATGACTAGGGTTTTCAATCTGTCAGAGCTAATGATGGGAGGCTTCGGTGGCTCAGTCCCCGTAACGGGTGGAGGAGAGACCTGAGAAGGCTCGGCCTCTGACTCCGACTCGTTGCTTAATCGGGAGAACCGGTTGAACGTTTCTGTCGGCTGAATGAGCGACACCGGTTGAGCATGCCGACCGCATTTCTTTCCAGAAGCCTTGAGAAAATGGTCCGGCTGCGGGGACTGTGCGAGGGGATTTATACTACTATCTGTACTTACTGGTGGCACAGACGCTGTTTCATCCTTTCCTACACTTACATTGCCCTTGCCTAACGATTGCGTCTGAAGCTGTGCTTACAGCACGGCTATCCTCACCATGAGGCGATAGTTCTCCTGTATATTATCAATACAGCGACTTTAATTAGATGGCATAGTGTTAATGTTACTACTTAGCTTCGGCTGGTAGAGGTCCTGTAAAACCATGTCCAGATAAAGCGTCCGGGGTGAAAAAGTAGAATGAAAAAGGTCAAGCGAGTAAAAAATATACAAATAACTAAGACGTTGGTAAAATGTGTTAAATGAAAATAGATTAAACGGTTAAAAAAAAAAAGTAAAAACAGTTTGGCAGGTAGCCAAGCAGCATCAAACAGCGTAGCATGGAGACAAGTGATGCGCTCAAAACGGAAACGAACCGACAGGATACACTAACTTTGATAATGATGTTTTGGTATTGATTGCTTTTGATGGTGTGCAACATTTCAAGGTCTCCATGGTGCAGTTCCCCAGTCTAATACATTCCATGGTACCACAATGTTGCACAATTTCAGTGATGTCACAGGATGCTTGGAAGGAGATCTCTTTAGAGAATTTTATGCCATGGCAAAGTCTGAAGTCTGAAATGTCCAATTTCTCTGTCCTTGCTGATCTGGTCTTGAATGACTGGATAAGTGAGGACAAAGGACACTGGAACGTAATTAGGATTTGGCCCATGTTATCCCTTTTCAAGCACATGGAGGAGAATCAAACTGTTTTTATACTGCCCTCTTTTTCACCCCTACAGGTTTCAACATCTACTCAGCCTCTTCCAGTCTGTCTACAGCACGTCACTGGGGACTGTTCCTGATGGTATATTTAAGGGTTTGTGAGTATTTAAAGAAAACAATTAGCATTTAGCATTATTGAAGTTCATTTTAACAGCTGCCATTTTAAAACAAAAGTTAAGACTTATTTTATTGTCACCTGCAATAACATGACAAAGTATATTGATTTCCAATGCTGGGTATGACCTAATTCTCGGTTATGTGAAATAGCATAGCAGTATGGCGCATTACCTGCATATTCAAAGGAGCGTTTTGAATTTCTTGATAACTGAAGGAAGGATCTGAATAGAAAAAGTAAAAGCCTATCCACAAGTGGGAGGAGATGAGCAAAAGAAACAATTTCATCATGAAATCATCTGCACTAAAGTGAAAGAAGTGTCATTAATTCATATGATCTTACTTAGCCTGTGTTTATTTTTATACAGTCGGTATTTTTAAGATCAGAAGTAGTTGAAGAAGAGGAAGGAAGCCACTTTAGATTATTGAAATGCGTCCACAGTTCGTCTGGTGATGTGCGCGAAGAAAGTAGGGAACCTATAAAATACTTTCGGACATAGCCAACCTCGCTCAGATCCTACAACGTGTGTTCGTGGACGGTACCCTCTAAACATAACACGTGGTCATCCTTCAAGTAAGCTGTCTGTCTCTAAAGAAAAGTAAACGTATGAGAAAGAAAACATTACACTATGTCAGCAATATGATAGTATTTTGCAAACACTGAAATGGTTTGAAGTTAGTCTACTAGTTAGCAATTTCCTGTCAAATTCAGTGTTCCATCATGGCGCGAATATTGTGGTACCTCAGCCAGTTAAATGGAATGAAGAGTCCTCTTCTTCTCAACAAAATACATAAAAAACTTGTCCATGTAGAATTTTCCCCATGTAGACTTGTTTTGTATTACACTAGTTTCAAGTTGTATTAGTCGTATGTACGGGATACACATGGTAACGTTATAACGCTACATACTGTCCAACGAAATAAGATAAGTATACGAACATAAAGTAAATAGCTCAGTAGAATAGAATAAACATCTTAGCATCAGTATTATACAGGAAGTCTGGTAGCAGCAGTTGTGATGTGTGTGTGTGTAGCATGAATGTATAGGTGAGTGTGTGGCTAATGGTTGTCCATCTTTTTTTTTACAGCACAGTCCTCCTCAGCCCCTCCATCTGGCGATGATGTCTTCCTCCCTGCCCTCGTTTAGATTGAATACTGGGGCTCAGATGCCCCTCCTGGGCCTAGGAACATACAGGCTGCAGGGTAAGCAAATGCACCGGAGTGTTGACGCTGCACTCGGGGAAGGGTATCGTGCCTTTGACACTGCTGCAGTGTACGGCAATGAAGCAGACTTGGGCCATGCCCTGTTGGACCTGATGCCCAAACACAACCTGACCAGAGCAGACATCTTCCTCATCAGTAAGCTGTCCCCAGCGGACATGGGCCCGAAGGCCAGAGAGGGCTGTGCTCGTAGCCTGGAGAGGCTGGGGCTAGGGGGATACATTGACCTGTACCTCATCCACTGGCCTGGAACTGAGGGTCTGGAACCAGAGGATGAGAGGAATGCACAGCATCGAGCCCACAGCTGGACTGTCTTTGAGGAGCTCCATGCGAATGGGATGCTCAGAGCAATTGGGGTCTCAAACTACTCTCCAAGGCACCTGATAGAGCTGCTGGAGACCTGCAGGGTGCGCCCTGCCGTGCTGCAGGTACATTAATGCCCTCATGATTTGTTGAAGTGGTTTTATATTTCAAATTTGACACAAACAGACCATAGTTTAAATCTATTTGGATTTAGCTTAGCCAAGGGCACAGCTGCTGTTGGTACATGGCCTGGGATTTGAACTATTATTTTAATGTATTTTTTACCCTTCTTCAGGTGGAGTTCCATCCCAGACTGGCACAGAGGGAGCTCAGGGGGATTTGCAGGGACTCAGGAGTTTGCTTCCAAGCGTATTCATCCCTGGGGAAAGGTGCCCTGTTGTCGGAACCAGAAGTTGTTGCTATGGCGAAGGGGCATGGCAGAACTGCCTCCCAGGTGCTCTTGAGGTGGGCCACTCAGCAGGGTGTGGCTGTGTTACCCAGGTCCGCACGGCCCGAGAGGGTGAGAGAAAATGGGCAGGTGTTTGACTTTGACCTGGATGAAGGGGGAATGGAGAGACTGTCTGACATGGACAGTGGAACAAGGTTCTGCAAAAGAGATCCCACTAGTGTGGTCTAGAGGGGAGAGCCCCACAACAATATACTTGATCGGTCATAGAACATTGTGTTAAATGTAATTCTGAACTACAAACAACCTATTAATGAAATGTAATGTTTCATTTACCATATTTATGTTTAAGTCATAGTTCCTTGATTCTTGAGCAAATGTTGGGCCAATCGGTTAGTTTACATAAAGTCCTGTCCTATTGCATGTTAAAATGCTTAATATGAATTACTTCAACAAAGATTTGCAAAAAACAATAGTCACGTTTTAATAAGCAATGTTCAAACATTTAATCTGTTACATAACATAAAAAATATTTACAAATAGTTAAACAGTTGTTTTTATGAAAAAGATAAATATAAAAATGTTAAGCCACACACAAAGTTTCAAGTAGAATATCAGTTATAACTGATGGCAGTGGACAACTCCTACTGTTGTTTGTACACCAGATTGCCATATACACTCATATTTCTTCAACCAAATGCTTAACAGTATTCAGAATATTTGCATATAAGGCAGTTGAGAAGGCTACATACGCCTGGATTGTAAATATTTACATACCGGTATGCACAATATACAATTGAAAACATATGCTCAATAAATTAAAGGCAATTGCAAATGAAAGAACATAATGAAATGTACAGTGTTCTAAGTTGATGAACAATACCCAAATAAACTTAGTGTATCAGTTAAAGTATGTATGAAGATAATTTAACGTCTACTTTAAGTTTTTGGCAATACCCTGCCTTGAAATAGGTGCATGTAAATCTAAGTCTACGTAAATCTAGGCATTCTATAGCACACTGGAGTTACATGCGCTTATGTCAAGTCAGAATGCACTTATGTTTTTGCCGGCAAAGGCATTTAATAGGCTAGCATAGGTAGTTAAATCTGTGTAGGGGGGAGGGAATCTGTATAATAAAACGTTTTGTTCACCATACAACATACCCGTCTTACAATTATAGTCATCACAGATCAGTTGTTCTTTCACAGGTTTCATATTTTAAGAATCATTAAAGTATATTTACATTTTGTTAATTTCAAACCATTAGTTATTAGCCTACGCTTTGAAATTCATACTTACAAATGTAGAAACATTTCATAGAACAATTTAACATTTCTCTGCAAATATGTTTAAATATGTTATAAATATGTAAATGGCACAAGAGATTGTCGTTTTTTTAATGACTGCATTTCTTCGAAAATGCATTTATTATGCACTGAATAATTATTTGGTAATATTGCAAAATATTTTCAATATGCAATGCATTTTTGCATAACGTTTGATTTGATTGTACAAAAAGGTCACATTTGAATTTGTGATATTCTCCATAGACATACTTTAATTTAAGCAAAAGTATGCCTATGAGACGTGAATATTTCAGATGTGGTCCAGTCGTTATGGAAATGTGTATGAACTCCTTCTTGCCTTGGCTGGGTCTCTGAAAGAGGTGCGTACTGTATTGGTTTCTCACTCCCTGCCTTCGGCCTCCTTTGGACTCCAGAGGAAAGAGAACCATCCTCGGGAGACTTTCTGCTTGCATCCTCCTGGGCTAATCCCTCTCTTGGGCTCCTGGGCAGGGAAATGGATAGAAAGGTCAACTCCATACATTTTTATGTAAAGCAGTCTTTACTGCAATCACTGTCAATTAGTGATACTCGGGTAAATAATCTCCCTACAGTATATACACTATGCCTAGACCTGTGGAGTCCATTCATGTAGCTAAGGATAAAGTCACATTTATTACACATTTACTATACATGTATATAGTAAATGGGAATGAGTGTCTGCTTTGTCCCCAATCTTTCAATTGTACACTCCTCTGTCAGCCCACATATCTTACCCCTTTGTCGAGCCAGGTGTCAAATTCATCACTCATCCTCCTCAGCTGGCAACCATATTTCTTTGCAGCCCACAGTGCAGGAGGAGCAGACTGTGATCGCCCTCGGAATGAAGCCCCATCACCCCCGCCCTCCTCAGTAGGAGTCATCACATCCTGAAACTCTGTGTCTTCCCTTTTGCCAACCTGGGAGCACACCTGGGACTCTGAGTAGAGCCGGACACGCCCACCTGTGTCAGTGAGTGGAAAGGGAAGGGGGGAATTAAGATATGGTAGATGTATTTATACCTGAAGAGATTCACACATATATCCAAACTGAGTATGAATGTATTTTCACATGATATTCAATATCCAGGCTTGATAGGTTTGAGGGGTAAATGCAAGTTTGATTCTGACCTGGTCGTGGTCTGGTGCTCATTGTAGTTGAGACATGGAGCTGAAATTCTGGGTCATGTGTGGTTCCTGAGTAGTCAGACTCACATTCATCCACACAATCATGTGTGTGGTCCATTCTAAATACCTGAAGAGAAATAGGCCATCCACAGTGAATTATTTTTATTTATTTATTCATTAGGATCCCCATTAGCTAACGCCAATGGCGACATCTAGTCTTACTGGGGCCCGACACATAACGAAGAAGACATTACATATAAAATACTTTACAATTGACGTACACTACCGGTCAAATGTTTTAGAACACCTACTCAGTCAAGGGTTTTTCTTTATTTTTACAATTTTCTACATTGTAGAATAATAGTGAAGACATCAAAACAATGAAACAACACATATGGAATCATGTAGTAACCAAAGAATTGTTAAACAAATCAAAATATATTTTATATTTGAGATTCTCCAAATAGCCACCCTTTGCCTTGATGACAGCTTTGCACACTCTTGGCATTCTCTCAACCAGCTTCATGAGGTAGTCACCTGGAATGCATTTCAATTAACAGGTGTGCCGCCTTAAAAGTTAATTTGTGGAATTTCTTTCCTTCTTAATGCATTTCAGCCAATCAGTTGTGTTGTGACAAGGTGGGGGTGGAGTGGGGTGGGGTAAAAGACCCAAATCCATATTATGGCAACAACAGCTCAAATAAGCAAAGAGAAACGACAGTCCATCATTACTTTAAGACATGAAGGTCAGTCAATCTGGAACATTTCAAGAACTTTGAAAGTTTCTTCAAGTGCAGTCGCAAAAACCATCAAGCGCTATGATGAAACTGGCTCTCATGAGGACCGCCACAGGAATGGAAGACCCAGAGTTACCTCTGCTGCAGAGGATAAGTTCATTAGAGTTACCAGCCTCAGAAATTGCAGCCCAAATAAATGCTTCACAGAGTTCAAGTAACAGACACATCTCAACGTCAACTGTTCAGAGCAGACTGTGTGAATCAGGCCTTCATGGTCAAACTGCTGCAAATAAACCACTACTAAAGGACACCAATAAGAAGAAGTACTTGCTTGGGCCATTAGACTGGTGGAAATGTGTCCTTTGGTCTGGTCCAACCACCGTGTCTTTGTGAGGCGCGGTGTGGGTAAACGGATGATCTCCGCATGTGTATTTCCCACCGTAAAGCATGGAGGAGGAGGTGTTATGGTGTGGGGGTGCTTTGCTGGTGACACTGTCTGTGATTTATTTAGAATTCAAGGACACTTAACCAGCATGGCTACCACAGCATTCTGCAGCGATACGCCATCACATCTGGTTTGGGCTTAGTGGGACTATCATTTGTTTTTCAACAGGACAATGACCTAACACACCTCCAGGCTGTGTAAGGGCTATTTTACCAAGAAGGAGAGTGATGGAGTGCTGCATCAGATGACCTGGCCTCCACAATACAAATTGAGATAGTTTGGGATGAGTCAGACCGCAGAGTGAAGGAAAAGCAGCCAACAAGTGCTCAGCATATGTGGAAACTCCTTCAAGACTGTTGGAAAAGCATTCCAGTTGAAGCTGGTTAAGAGAATGCCAAGAGTGTGCAAAGCTGTCATCAAGGCAAAGGCTGGCTATTTGGAGAATCTCAAATATAAAATATATTTTGTGTTATTTCATAGTTTTGATGTCTTCACTATTATTCTACAATGTAGAAAATAGTAAAACAATTAAGAAAAACCCTTGAATGAGTAGGTGTTCTAAAACTTTTGACCGGTAGTGTACATCTAAAAACATTAACATGTATTGTGTGTGTGTGCATCTATCAGTTACACACACATGTCAGTACATACACACAACAAGTAGGTCACATGGGGTAGAGGCGTTGTGCCATGAGGAGTTGCTTTATTTGTTTTTTGAAACCAGGTTTGCTGTTCACTTGTGCTATATTAGATGGAAGGGAGTTCCATGCACTCATGGCTCTGTATAATACTGTACGTTTCCTTGAATTTGTTCTGGACCTGGGGACTGAAAAGCCCCCTGGTGGCATGTCTGGTGGGGTAAGTGTGTGTGTCAGTGCTGTGTGTAAATTGACTATGCAAACAATTTGGAATTTCCAACACATTAATGTTTCTTATAAAAACAAGAAGTGATGCAGTCTGTCTTTCCTCAACTCTTAGCCACGAGAGACTGGCATAGTGTTGCTCATAACCATGTGTACAGTGAGGGAAAAAAGTATTTGATCCCCTGCTGATTTTGTACGTTTGCCCACTGACAAAGACATGATCAGTCTATAATTTTAATGGTAGGTTTATTTGAACAGTGAGAGACAGAATAACAACAACAAAATCCAGAAAAACGCATGTCAAAAATGTTATAAATTGATTTGCATTTTAATGAGGGAAATAAGTATTTGACCCCTCTGCAAAACATGACTTAGTACTTGGTGGTAAAACCCTTGTTGGCAATCACAGAGGTCAGACGTTTCTTGTAGTTGGCCACCAGGTTTGCACACATCTCAGGAGGGATTTTGTCCCACTCCTCTTTGCAGATCTTCTCCAAGTCATTAAGGTTTCGAGGCTGACGTTTGGCAACTCAAACCTTCAGCTCCCTCTACAGATTTTCTATGGGATTAAGGTCTGGAGACTGGCTAGGCCACTCAACGACCTTAATGTGCTTCTTCTTGAGACACTCCTTTGTTGCCTTGGCCGTGTGTTTTGGGTCATTGTCATGCTGGAATACCCATCCACGACCCATTTTCAATGCCCTGGCTGAGGGAAGGAGGTTCTCACCCAAGATTTGACGGTACATGGCCCCGTCCATCGTCCCTTTGATGCGGTGAAGTTGTCCTGTCCCCTTAGCAGAAAAACACCCCCAAAGCATAATGTTTCCACCTCCATGTTTGACGGTGGGGATGGTGTTCTTGGGGTCATAGGCAGCATTCCTCCTCCTCCAAACACGGCGAGTTGAGTTGATGCCAAAGAGCTCGATTTTGGTCTCATCTGACCACAACACTTTCACCCAGTTCTCCTCTGAATCATTCAGATGTTCATTGGCAAACTTCAGACGGGCCTGTATATGTGCTTTCTTGAGCAGGGGGACCTTGCGGGTGCTGCGGGATTTCAGTCCTTCACGGCGTAGTGTGTTACCAATTGTTTTCTTGGTGACTATGGTCCCAGTTGCCTTGAGATCATTGACAAGATCCTCCCGTGTAGTTCTGGCTTGATTCCTCACCGTTCTCATGATCATTGCAACTCCACAAGGTGAGATCTTGCATGGAGCCCCAGGCCGAGGGAGATTGACAGTTCTTTTGTGTTTCTTCCATTTGCGAATAATCGCACCAACTGTTGTCACCTTCTCACCAAGCTGCTTGGCGATGGTCTTGTAGCCCATTCCAGCCTTGTGTAGGTCTACAATCTTGTCCCTGACATCCTTGGAGAGCTCTTTGGTCTTGGCCATGGTGGAGAGTTTGGAATCTGATTGATTGATTGCTTCTGTGGACAGGTGTCTTTTATACAGGTAACAAACTGAGATTAGGAGCACTCCCTTTAAGAGTGTGCTCCTAATCTCAGCTCGTTACCTGTATAAAAGACACATGGGAGCCAGAAATCTTTCTGATTGAGAGGGGGTCAAATACTTATGTCCCTCATTAAAATGAAAATCAATTTATAAAATTTTTGACATGCGTTTTTCTGGATTTTTTTGTTGTTATTCTGTCTCTCACTGTTCAAATAAACCTACCATTAAAATTATAGACTGATCATTTCTTTGTCAGTGGGCAAACGTACAAAATCAGCAGGGGATCAAATACTTTTTTCCCTCACTGTATCTACTGTAAGGAGATAACGTTATTCTCATCACAGCGGGGTGTTGGTAAAATCACTATACATGTATTTTATTTACACATACAAATATTTATAGGAATTTCTTAAATATTTTCAAGTAACGTTAACCAGTTAGCTAGCTAGAACTTACCAAAGGTGTCCTGACGACTTGCAAGAGGGTGGTTATAGGTTGACTCGATTTTGGTTATCCTCTTCTTCTGTCAATGTTAAACTGGAGTGCGGAGGTGAGGATATTTCTGTATTTTCTCCTTTCAATGTGAATTTTTACAAGACCCAGTCGGTGTTGATTTCCTCTCATTGCAAGTGGCACACCCAAATATAAACAATAACGTCAGAGTAACGGTCTAGCTAGTATTGTTTTGTGCCACGGGGAGCCTTTTATGATCAAATGTTCAAAATGAACTTTCATAGCTAGCTGACATCTTCTGTTCTTAATGATTGTCTTCGCTAAACTCAATTTCAATCGATGAGTTTATCAAATTCTTACCGAAATGTCTTAACATATGACAGACGGTCTCGTGTACCCAATACTGTTGTTGTCTTCGGTCTCGTCTTGTACAGTTCACCACTGTACAGTAGCACCTCTTCGCCCAATCGGCTGCCACTGGCGATCAGAACGAACCAATAAGCGCGCGCTGCTAGGGGTTTTTCAGTGGCTATCTTGTCAGAACGTCACTGTTGCGAAAGGGGTGTGGAACACAGTTGTGTAACGTATGTAAAGCTAAATGGATCGTGCAGTCTCGTGACTTGTTTACCAATTCGCCCATCGCGGCGCGCACAATTTACTTAAAAGCTTGTCATTGATATTGGGTAGTGTCAGTATTAGGGTTGTGAGTCATTGGTGTGTAGTGGCGGAGATTTAGATTAGCTCATAAATAACCACACTATTACCTTAGGTAGAGAAATTTGCCAATGGTCTGTATATTTGTTATTCTGTAATTTAGTCACATTTTAATTTGAGTTCAGTTCATTTGAGAAGTACACATTATTTGAGATGTCACCCCTAATGATTTTTCATTTGTTGGAAGCAGTACAATATTCTGGCCATAATGACAGACCTGTAATGAGGGACATCACATCAACATGAGGTAGCCTATGCTTTTTGTTCATATCTCCACTGCAATTATGTACAGTGCCTTCAGAAAGTATTCACACTGCTTGACTTATTCCACATTTTGTTGTTACAGCCTGAATTCAAAA